TAGCTGAGGCACCCACCGACCTTCTTGTTGACCTTTTTTTTTTTAATACTACAGTTTTTTTTTATATACATAATATAGTCTTGACAATTGACACATTTGTTATTAAAATTAATATTTATGCTGAAATTTTTATTTATTTCAATTTATTGCTCTTATTTAGTTAGATGTTATAATATGAATATGCCTAAAAAACTACATTTAATTTAGGTATTTGCATTGATAAAAGTTTGTGGTGTAGAAATATTTTGTTTTAAAAAATTCTTGGACTCCTACTGTTGGGTTGGTTTTCCCTATTTAATAAAAAAAAATGTATGTTAGTAAAAGTATTAATTACTTTTTGGCTAAATATCACCACAAGTTTATAAAGAGAAAACCAAGGTTTTCCTGGCCATTTAAGTAAAGATTGCTAAATCGTATTAAACCCTTATTGAAATTTGTTCGCCTATAGGTATTTACTTAAACCAGCTGTTGATTTTAAGAAAACTGGACATGGTAATTGTCTAATGAGAACGGGAAACCTATCCTCGTAGTTTTAATTATTATAATTAGATAAACTGTGTTATATTTATTAGAAAAAAATAACTTTGATTATAAGGGGATTGAAAGCGGGCGGTTTTTAAGGGGTTTTATACAGGCATAACTTTAGAAAAATGGTTTGTTCCATTTGATTACACGGATCCTGTCTGACTCTAATCATAAATATTTAATACCTGAATTATTATTTTATTAAAAACTAAAATCAGAAAGTCAGTCAATGACAATGGTCCAATACGTATATATTAATAATTTTACTCGTTTCTTTTAATACCGAAAAAACAACTGTAAAACAACACAACGTTTTATTTTCAAAAACCCATCGGAAGTGGGCGAGACCATTTTAAACATATTACGGACTTCCCACACATTCATTCGATAGCAACCAGTTACCAGACTTAATTAAGCTCAATAACATTCGCACTAATCGATGTTTAGAAATAAACAACATAATATTAAACTGTATCCATATAATTGCTATACTATACATTTATTTATAAGATATATTAAGCTGTTATATGATTACAAAATAATTTTTAGGAAGTAAGTCGTAACCCGACTTGATATAATGCCATAAGGAGGAACAAAATTATACACATTTTCGTATTGATTGCTGTTATTTTTTTAACAGTTTACTATACTTTTTTCGAGTTATAAGTATTTTAAGTACCTACAATGTAATATGCGTGTACCAACAAGCACAACCCTAGCATATTACCTAACCTAATCCACTGCTATTGGTTTTTATAATAATATTTGTGTACAATTATTGAAGTCAAAACAATTTAATGAAATCTAAATTTACAATGTGATCACTCATCACATACCATGAGAGAGATGTAGAGTAGGCAGTAGAACTAATTTATGGTTTTAAGAAGGATTGCACGTGATATCCAAATTTGAAATCGTCACGCTTGGTGCTATATTAGTAGAGGGATTAAGGTTATGCACCACAACCCTAGCCTAATGTATTTAACAGTTATGCATTCCTTTAAATGTTATTTATTATCGGACGGCATCGTATTAAAAATATATAATAAATCACATAATGTGGCCAGACAAAAAACACCGTCCAAGGCCAGCACGGATAAAAGTGTGAAATCTACAAAAAATTTTATGTTTATAAGCTCATAAGTCATAACACTATACAAATAACTGTTATAGTTTTTATTTTAATTGTTCTTATCTAAATCGAAAGGTCATCGACTTAATAAAAAAGGTCAAATCCAATAGAGCGTGCAAAACAATTATTTGTATTGACTACTGATATAATCTCTGGATACTGGACAGTTTAGAGGCGAGGCAAGTTAACAGCCACCACAATCCACCAAAGACTAAAACTTTATTTTTAGTTATCACTAAATAGTCGTAGATATAGAATGAAAAAATAGTATCTTATTGTACAGTTAGTACTGTTTTTTTGTATTTGCTGCAGTCAAAATTGAACGTCAAATATTTGAAGGCTAAAGTTGTAAAAACTAGTTTTAAAAAACATTAAATTATCGAAATTTAAATTATTATATGAAGTCATTGTTTTAAAAATCATTTATGAAATTGAAGTATTTTTATTGGTTGTGTTATATGCATTAAACTATTCGCAGTATGTTGTTTAATTATTTTTATTGATGATAACATCAGCCATGGAGATCAATGTGATCTTCTAAACACATCATGAAGGAAGTTACCTTGAAATATATAATATAATTGCCTGTAAGGAAAAATTAAAATGTTAATGAAATAAAAGTAAAAGATGAGTAGGTACGAATAACCATAATACAACATCATTATACTATAGAAGAAACCTATGAAGTTGTTTTGTTGTAAATAGAAAGCTATATCCAAGTCGAGATGGATAAAAAATTGTTTTTAAATGAAAGTCATATGAACATATTGTAGTCCATGAATGTTTTTTTAATGTATTAGCATTTATTATGTTATAGAATAATACATTTATTACATAATCAATGGTATTAGTTAAAGAAAGTTTTTAAGAAAACTGTTTTTGTCTAAAGATAATGCTGAATATAGTGTATAATAACAATTAATAAGTAGTATAATTACAAGTGGGGAAGTATTTTCCAATATGTAAAATTACGAATTAAGACTACTTATAATATCTAATAGCTTCAATGTCTCAGTAAATGTACATTAAGCTAATTAAAGTGTACCTAACTACTTATTTAACCCTAACAGTCATCTAAGGCCAAGGTAGCCGACTATTTATTTCTATTATTTTACAAATATTAAACATATTATACTCTACAGTGCGGTCACAAAACTGTAACCGATTTGTAAAAAATTAAAAATGTATTAAAATATTACCCATAGAGTAAATAAATGTTCTATATTTACCTGTCAATTATTTTATTTTAATTAATTGACCTTAATTAGGTTTATGTATAAAATATTTTGTTTAGAGGTATTTGACTGTGAAAATCATGCAAAAAAATACTTACCCAAATCGTTAAAGTAAAATCGTATTGTTGACCTATAAAATACAACGCGCTAAACCGGTCAATAATAATATACAAGTCAAAGTAAGTGGGCGTTGTCTATCGGGTAAAAGTTATCCTTTTTTCGTATTATTATTTTGTTTAATAATATTATCCGGATTTTAACAGAGTATAGAGTAAAACGCACCCTGTATTATTGCAAAATGTATTATTATCAAAACTGCAAAATATAATCAAATCATGTAAAACAAATATGAAATTACCTAAATGTCATGAAAAGAGATGCCCTTTTTAAAGGTCGTTGTCATGAATATGAAAATACAAAAAAAGTTAATTTATAAATAGTTCTACATGGAAAAAAGAAAACTTGATTTTCAACCATATTCATTTATATATATATATATATGTGTATATATATATATATAAACTGCGAAATTTGACACATATAACACATGGGAAAACGTATCCCATGTGTTATCTCATTTTTCAATATTTGGTGACTTACGTTGTTTCTCAAATATGTGGTTCATATATATATATATATATATATATATATATATATATATATACTTCATAAATCATAATTATTGTATATTAGTATGGAACAATATATTTGGGCTTGATCAATTCAAAATTATACTGCGTATTAATTATATTGCGAGTTAGCCGTTAGCTTATAGTTGTTATAATAGTAATTGCCTGGAAGACATCTTAACTGTTAATTTCATCGATTCTCATTGTAATTCCATGACAATAACGTTGTACCGAATTTGACGTCACCGTTATTTTTGCAGACGTCTTGACGTGATTTTTAACACACGAGCCACCGAAACGAATAAAAATTAATGTTTTTCAATTAAAATAATATTGTCCATTGCCCGATAACGTTTTATGGCTTGTGGATATCATTTCTGATAAGTCACATACGCGGTTTAGCCGACCGGAACTGCGGTTCGGGAATTATTTAGTATTCTCAGCTCTTACTTAGTACCTATAGACTATAGTTTATAATGTAGTCCCTATGCATTTTGATTGACGTTCACTCATAAACATTGTTACGGTAAGTGGTAATAATTAATTAGCTATTAACGTACAAGTGTTTACACTAGTATGCAATGTGCATTATACATCGTATGTTGGTCAAGGAACATAATATAACATCCTCCTAAATAGATAATTATCCGAAACGGGTTTGTAGGTGGAACTCTCGAGAACTCTCAAAAGGTGGTCGGTTTTCAAAATTATTATAAATTGCTCTGACGTTCGCCGTATGATACGTGGATTTTGAATAATTCAACGATAATTTATGTATTAATAAAACTACAACTTAGCTATACATGTTACTATAAAGACTTCACTTTTTATTTTAGCTTTTTTTTTTTTGAAAAGCAAACACGTTCCGCTCTATATTATGATAGTTTTTTAATTATTCTGGACGACGGAAACGGAACATGTGTGATGTCCATACATATATTAACATCTACCTATTATAGACCGCCGGAATAAAATAAACACGTCAGAGTGTTAAGTTACTTCGGTGTTTTTGGCAATGTAACAGAAGGCTTTCAGTAATATTGCTTGCCTCCAAGGCTTTCTCCAAGAAAACATAAAAAAAGATTTTATGTATTATTCGGTTTTTGTAAAAAAAAACATAATTTCATTCATCGCCCTTGCACGCAGCGACATCATTTTAGTTTTTACCAGAGTCGGACAAAGTTTACCTATGTGCAGCTCTCGACACTACCCTTCGGGAAGGATACAACAAACATTTTTATAATAGCAATTCGAAATTAAAATTACTTATAAGCAAATAAAAATGTTACCTATACGAGTTAATAGTTTAATTTGCGTTTTATACATATCTATTTGTGTACCACTTCCGATCCAGCTAATAGTAATGCCAAAAATATCTATAAAAAATATACGACATGGAACTTAAGCTTAACCTAAAACCATGGTAAATATTGGCCTATACTTAAGTATGAAGGTAAAAAAACAAACGAAACTGCAAACTGCCCTACTTGAATCAGTACATGGTTGTGCAAAATATATTTGTAAAAATTTAGTACATATAAAAAAAACATCAAACGCAGTGTGCATTGTTGTTGTTACACGTGTAAAAGTTAGAATTTAAAAAATCATATATTATCATATTTATTTTATAAAATTGTTTTTATGCAGCTAAGCGACTGGATTGCCACACCGAATCATCCTTGACGAACAACAGGCGGTCCGCAATTCTCTGACCGATGGATTCGTAAAACTCCACTACGTTAGGTACGAGTTTGTAAGCGACTCTGGAAAAAAAAAACAATACTTAGCGTTAAATTAGTTCCAAATAGCTTTCAACGAAATTAGAGGCGTTACAAAATTGCCTACACACACCTATGCTATGTTAACAACGGCTGTACTTATGTCTATATTTGTATAGGTGCAACAAAAAAGGTGTTACCGGATAAATAATTAAGGGCAAAATACACGATGAAAATGTAATTATAATGTATTTATTATTTTAGACATGGTCATCATGACCTGTTAAATAATAACATTACACGATCAACACGATTCAGTGATTAATACAATTAGATTTGGTTTTTCGCTCGTTTATCTTTTGTCGACACAACCTTAGGTCAAACTGCAGTAGTTCGTGTACAACCAAGATTAATTAATAACAAATAATAATAATTTAACATTGTTATCAAACGGGTAAGACGCGTTTGTCGTGTCTGCCGAAAAAACCATCGATCATCGTTTAATGATCACAGCTAAATACCAGTCCCCGTCCGAACTCCGAGCTAACATTTATAATATTATTGTTCTCTGAGCCAAAAAAAAAAAAATAATAACCGGAGTGACAAATTTATCGTTTTTATACACAATAGAAAATCGAGTTAAGACACGTGTCATATAATCCACTGTCCTCGTAAGAATTTAAAATCCTTAAAATTTTTACAAATTTACGTTAAAGAATACCAATGGAACATTTTAAAGGCTAGTTAAAATTTTACCGCTAAATGAAAAGCAATTATAATTTCCTCAGTCCTCACTGCTGTACTTAAATGGTATTTAGCTACTTGGTAGCTGTGATAAACTGCTAAGAAAGAATCCTTATTATACTTATGGTATTATGCACACTGGAACTAAACATTTAACTTAATGTAATTTTTTTATGAAACTAAAAAAAAAATTACGTGTTCACAATAACGAAAATAAATAAATTTTGGTTACTTATAATGTTGTTTAAAAATTAAAATTTATACTTTATCGATTGAAAATATGAAAACACTGTATTAAATATTTCATAAATTAATTAATTTACACTGAATACATTATAATTTTTAAAAATTGTCAATGATAAACTTGATAAGTCACGTTTACGGTTTAAAGACTTTTCATTACTAATTAAATACAGTGTTAATTAATAATATTAGGTATAATCTGTTGTTGTCAAAAACACAAAACTTTAAAATTGGCCTACAGTTGTGTTTAGGAAATATTTTTAAACAGTGTTTCACGCTTATCATATTTTGGCTCGTGAGTAGGTACCGAATCCATTAATGAATGAGACCGTAGGCTACTACCAAGTGGCCACGAATAGCTGCTATTAATTGTAATTTATTGCAAAAGTATAACACGACTTGGAAGCATAATTATTAATACCGCAAACATATGAGTTGGGCGAGCGTCATTTTTAACTCGGACTCATGCGCAGGTTAAAAGGTTAATATAAACTAATAATAAAATAGTAATTATTGCTGCATTAAAAAAATTAATTAATTTCATGTTTCCAGCTTCTTTGTACAACCGAAAAGCAATCGGTTTTATAACAAAACGCCTAATAAATAAATCAAGTTTAGGTACATCCGATGTCATAATAAGTGACAGTAAATTCACAAAATATTTTTATGATCCCAAACACTTTAGTGACTCCAGTTTGATTAGAACAATCATGTTTAAATGGAGTTTGAAATATTTTTATATTATCACTATTATAATGGTATAAATCAAGTGATTTTTGTACACGACTTTTTCTTAAAAAAAAGTTTTGCCTGTTACTAATGAACTAATAATTTTAATTTTCTTTTGTACTAAATAAAAAACTAAAAAAAATTTATTTATTTTTTAGACCAGTTCTTAATTCAGCATAACAGTTTTGGTTTTAATATTCTCAAAACTTATGTTAAAATATTGTGATATCTATAAATAACTTAAAGTCTAATTTTTGTATAATCTTAACGATTCATAATTGCATCGAATAGTTTTTCATTAAAATTATTTTAAGACTTAAAATGTTTTTATTTTATCTTGAAACTAAAGCGATCTTGGTGCTGGTTATTATTTTTTTGTCTCTCGTTAATAGTTGCGTTTAACATGGACTTATGTGACCATAACAATTGTCTTTGTATTAAATCTAGTTTAAGAGAATAAAAAGTTGCCGGAGTATACTACATAGAACTTAAACAACTTACATGTGATCGGGTTTGGGAAGCTGAATGTTGTGTTTGGTGACTTGGCCAAGCAATCTGTCATGGTCGCGTTTTAGCCGCTCCCAATCGACCTCTTGTCCCTGTTCACAAATTTGAGCACGGATTTTGCAAAATAGCGGTTCGATATCGTAGAGTTCCTGCATGTTGTCTGTGTTTAATTTATTCACCACTCCTTCGATGCGCACTTGTCTGGTCTGGTTTCCTTCTCCGGGGACCTTGTGCAGCCACAGGAACAACATGGAAGCTTGGGGGTTATCGGCCTACAATAACATTAAAAAACCATTTAACCGTCTCTAATATAACAGCTGATTATTCGGGCCCCTACCATGTCTGTTGATTTTCTACTCCTACCGTCAGTCATCATAACAAAACCGTCTTTGTCCAAACGCCGTAAGATCAAACTTCGGCACGACACCTTTCCGGCTCTGAAAGAATTTTTTTTTTTGCGTAATAAAATTCAAAGGAGAAGACAACAATAAAGTCTTTATAAAAATTCGAATTTAACTTAGTACTTTTCAGACCTAATTTCAATTCTCTAATGTACAAAATCAAATCATTAACAGTCACAGTAGCCTAGTTTTTAAAAAAAGTCGAACTAGTTGCAAATTTCTATGGAATATTTTTACACATAGTACTACTGATAAACGTTGCTAAACCAAAAAATATCATAAACCCTTTCCTCTAGAAAAGGTGGACATTTTTTTTTTATTTCGCTTTCTTAGATGAAGTTATATGGCTTAAGGTCTGAAAAATAAACATAAGATAGATCTAGATTATTGTGTATTACGCATAATACAGAATGGTAGAAATAAAGTTGAGCTGGAAGGAACAAATCCCCTAAACTAAGTTCTCATCACGTAAGTACAATATTTTTTTAGCTCCACGTCGTTTTTTGGTCAATATAATCTTAAAAAATGTTGGTCTATCTGTGCCTATGATAATAAATTAATAAATATAAAATCATAAATTATAAATATGTTAAAACTTTTATGAATTGAAACATTATGTGATAAAGTTTCGGATGTTTTTATGTCGTCAGTTTTATTCTGACATTTCAGACTCATTGCAGAGTTCAACTTTCATTTAAGTATTTACCAATACTACAAGTTTTCAAACTTTATGGGTGGAAATACTATAGGCATCTTATATCCATTCGTCTACTTCTTCATGAAAGATTATAAAAACCAGTTAAAATTACCTGTATACAATACTCCCAATACCATTATTGGGACTTGCAATAATAATATATATTTTTATTTTTTTAAGCACCGTACTTGGAAATTGTTGCTAGACTAAACGCTTTAGCCGATGTCACATTAATGTTGGCCGCACAGTGTTCGTTGTACCATTCACTGAAAATGTCCATAGGATTTGTAAAAGAAGTTTTTATCTTGTGTAAATCACTTTCTTCATACATCGGTTCGACCTGAAAAACAGTAAAACCATTTGTTATTAAAATTAAAATTAGTTATATTATTTATTAATCAGAAGAAAATATAAACGTATGTTGTAATTATAACATTGTTAAACTAATTTTTTACGGAAGTAAATATTAGGTCACAATACTGTTAATATATTAGCTATATATCACTAATGTTTAAATATTAGTTTAATCAAATCAATGTAGACTGGCACATCTGCAATAAGTCTATAAAAGGCTGACCACCGAACTATTATAAGGTAACTTTTATTCTTTAATTTACTACTGTCTACTATAGGTATTTTATTTTTACATTCATACTATATTATGAAAATATTGATTGTGTTGGTTTTTCTTTTAATGGACATAAATCAAAATGCAAATAAAAATTGTACTGCTATACTATTTAGACTGGCGTCGTTATATTTCGGGTATGAAATATCATATTGACTCTTATTTTACAGTATTTTAGAAATATGTTTCTATATTACAAGGAACAGACAGAGTGCTTTACTAATGAATAGTTGTAATTACAATGAAAACATCAAATGACGATAAGGTGCTAACTATTGTATTTGGTATACAATTAAAATAAATATAATTGATAGAAATTACTTGAAAACGATTAAAAATGTAAAAAAATATATAACATATTACATCGGAACAGAAAGCGTAATTTTTTTTTACAAATAAAGACTAAAACGCGGAGTCACTTTCTGAACTGTCTACCGAACCGATTTCAATAATTTTTGTTTTTTTATAGTTAACATCTTTTCTCTGGGGGTTAAAAGGCCGATTTTTGATTTTTGTTTTCAAAAAATATTTATAAGCATTTAAATTTTTTATTGTTTTTTCCAATAATACATCTAACTATTTTTTAATCGCTAAATAAAAAATCGGCCTTTTAGCTCCCACGGAAAAAATTGTAAGCCGTCCAATAGATACGCTAGAAAATGACTTCTACCGTCTACGAAAGTAATTTTTTATCAAACTTTCGTCTTAACTTGGAAAAAAATAACTTTAAAAGTATTATAATTAGAAAATTGTAATACATGTTCACCTTGAAATTAGTATGCATATGAAAAATGGCTATTATATCAATTTTTTGTCAAATATTGCCTCTCCTTTGCCCCTTCATAAATAGCGCTTTCCGTTCCCCTTAATTAAAAAGTATATGTTACTATGGAATTTGTATATCTTGGAACTTTTAAATTCAGTTCCAAATATAACTTTTATTTTAGAACTTGTTTTGTCTGTTCTTTTATAATTGTTAAGTTGAAATATTTTGAAAAAAATCCAAAACTTTTTCGGGCTCTGATTAAAAGTTTTTCCTTTAAACTTATTTACAGTTTTTCACGCATTTCTAGCGGTTAAAATATAGACTATTATAATTATCTCGCTATTGAAAAAATAAAAATACCCTTCTATTCTTTATCAGATAATACTAAATATGCAATTACAATATTTTTAATTAACCCATCTATTTATGAATTTTTCTCTCAACAGTTAAATACATAAATGCACATTGGAGATTGTTGTCTAAGGTAGCTAGGTACAGACTTTTAGAAACGCGGTGTTTATCGTTTTTAATGATTTACTAGATAATATATTATATATATATAGGTACGTTATGATGATGTCGACTGAACAGGTATACCCATATTAGGGCGTATATTTGTTGTGTGGGAAACGAAATCCGCAACTGTACATCGGCAAATTCAATCGGTTGTTGCGTTATTATATAATGTCATAATGCACATTATATGTTTTCAATATATCGTATTATTCAAACGAACTGGATTCGAAACAAAGTCGTCAAAAGCGGCATTTGAGATTTTATCCTACATATCTACCTCCCGCGGCTAAGACTCGTGTGTCCTATAGAAACCCTAAACATAAGTACCAACGGATGATTTATATAAAACGTGAGAATTGGCAAAGATTTGGCCTCCGGGCAAACTCCTTATTAAGCTACACAATCGTTACTAGAGACGGCCGTGACGGCAACTTGTTGGCGACTTTGTCCGTTTGACAAATAACACTTGAGTCCATTGGCGGAAAATAATATTAGCGAAACAATGTGCGACACATTTTTTTTTTCATAAGTAGTCGACATTAGATACACGGATTTCTAATAATTACAATGAGCGCACAAGGATTCGTCATCCGGCCGGGCGTGCACTGCAGGAACACGATAATAAATTGCTCTTATGTACAGGATAGGCTTTAAAGACGCATCGTGGTAATATACAGTAAGCTAACATGTCGGGCTCGTTCAAAAGTGCAATGATCATCACGCGGACAAACAATATAAATAAGTACTAGCTCAATAAGGACACTTGGACGATTGAAGAACACATATTATAGCCTCTAATAATTATCGTTTATTCGCTTCAGGGTCAACGCAATCTTAATGTATATATGAGTATTTTGAATCGTTTGTCGTTTGAAAGCGTTAAGTCTTGAAATATTGAAAATATTTAAGATTTTCAGACATCCCAAAAGTACACGGAAAGCATAAATGTAACTAGGTATCGTTTCTTTTTTTTAATGCGTGTGTATTGTATTGAGAATATTATTGTAGAAGGATAATCGGCACGATATAATTGATCTTAATAAAAAACCATTTAAAATGCTTAATAAACAAATGCTATAGGCACAGACCAGTTGGAATGAATTTGTTCAATTATTGGATAGTAATTTATTTTTGTGTGAACTGTAAAGGAACATAACATGGATTTTGTTCGATTTTAAAAGCAATAGACGTTAAAAAATGATGAGGTTAACATCATAGGCGTCAATTAGGAATACTAAAGAAGTCTATGAACGCTTCAAAAATAAAAACAAACGGAACTTTTTTAAAAAATTGACTTAAATTTAATGTTTAAAATATTCTATTAAATAAAGTATTATCGCTTTAAATATAAATTATGTAAAAGACTCTCAAATTGATAAGACGCAAGGTAAGGTAAAACACAGTTTATGTAGAATAGAAAAAAAAAATAATCATAGTTAATGAGTTCTCTTTTAGGCTTGTGAATTATTTTCCTATCGTGCTAGTTGAAGCAGGCCGGTATGAGGTTCCGGCCGAAATTCACATTTTACGATTTAACTGAAAAAAACAATTGCTCTTGCTCGGTTTTTTTTTATAAAATTATTTTTCGACTGTACATTTTTTTATGAACATTTGGATTTTTTTTAGAAAGTTAGAGAGCAAATTGCGAATTTTGCTAAACTTTATTCGTGCTCTTGCTAAAAAATGATCATGGAGAAAATTTCACGAAGAAAAATAAGTAAATTAGGTACGCATTGACCAGGTCTCTCGTCTGACCTTATCCAAAATTATGTCGTCCAAGAACAGCTTACGGTCGGTGTCGCTCACGTTCCTAATAATACTTTCCACATAATATGACGGCTGTTCGAGATTGCGATGTTGACTAAGTCCCTTATATTTACTAATGATACAGTCCTGAGACACTTCGCCACAAACGCAGGACTTGCAGTAAAATTTCAAAATTCGGTTCTTCGATCCCAAACACTTTAGTTCGTCCTCGGTTAGTTTGGAGCATTTCTTATGAACTGAACGCGAACACTTGTCGCATTTCACCGTACATTCGAAATAAGCAAACGGGCCGGAACAGACAAGACAATAAGAAGCCATTACCGGCATTTGTTTAAACTCACTACGAAAATACAACGACGAGTAGGTATTATGTACTAATATAGATTGGTCGACAGCAAAAAAACGCGCATTCAAGCCGATTTACGCGGTTATAAAACAACTGTGCGAGTAGTCGAGGTTTTGAGTATCATGTAAACGAGGGTTGATCAAACAGTAACTGTTTTTCTTACGTAACCCCTATTAGTAGAAGGAACTTTGTAAAACAATATATACACACGAATCACGTTTACTCGTTATAGGGTTTTGACATGTATGGACAACTATACAGGTAGTCTCGAATGTGTGAAGTCATATGAATCATTCTTATAATGGACGGTCTAAACTGTTAAAACTTAAACCCACATTAAGGATCCTGATCCTGGCATGCATTACAATATCAAGTTGAAAAATTTGGCCAATTTATGGCAAAAACTTTTTTCGATAACGTCACCTTAAATTTAAGTTAAATTATTAGCTTTTAATATCATTTTGAACACATATTTTTGAATTTGTTATATGAGCCATAGTCATTAACTAGCTAACAAAATATCTAAACTATATCAATTTTTTTTCTATTAGCGAAATCATCCCAACAAACTCTCTCTCTCTCTTCACAATAAAAATTTAATTTTTTTCAATTTCCTATTTTTCAACTTTTTTGTTTCCAAATTATGGTAGTGAATTTACTTAAATCTTACTTCGGCTTGGCGAATTGAAGACAATTTCCGAATGCTTGCCGGCATCAAGCTCAACGCTACCATTCGTTTTGCAAAACAGGGCAAAGCTTGGATTTTCAGCTAGAAAACCAAAAAGCGCGTTAAAGTTTGTTTAGTATACTTATTTATTTTTTGGAGTTCTTACCATTTTCACTTAAAATTGTTCTGTAGTTGTTTAATAAATTTACTACAAAAAACTAAACAAGGAAAAACTGTTCTTGAGAGCTTTCAAGTCGTTTGTGACGGTTTGGTCGGATTTACGTGTAACGCAGACGCTTATACAAGTTTTAAAAGCGACCGGATCACCTGTCTATTATCTTATCGAATTACTATGTAAGTTCATTAATTTAATTAAGAGATTTTTCGTTTCAATGTCCAATTGTCGGCATATACCATGTTCACTATGTGTATTATGTTCCTGTTGGTGAAGAGATATACGCTAACCTTCTAGGCTTTTGTGGCTTCTCCAGTTAAAATGTGTACCTACACACTGTGCTATTATGTAATTCTATTTTGTTACTTTAGACGGATAATGCTTTTCTCCGAAGCCCAGATATCTATCGTTATAGATTTCTAAATCGGTAGGTAAGCCATGGATAAATTACCTATAAACCTATGCTACAATTTCGAGAGAAAAAAATTATAAGACTATTAATAATATAAAACCAAAACAAATATATTACTCATCTAATAATTAATAACATTACCTATATTATTGACAATCAACACATACACATACACATATTATACAAAAACTATTAAATATTTTTGTGTAATTATAGTTTTATTCAGTTTTAGCCAATTGTTTCTAAATTATCAAAAATATTTTCTTAATAAATTTTAAATAAATTTAGATTTTAGGGGGTGTTTAATAAAGTTATAACTAACTAGATAATTAATATCTTAAAAAGACTTTCACACCGTGTATTTTTTGCGAGAAGTTAAAAGGTATCAATATTCAAATTTCAAACAATTCTTTAATTTGTATACTAGACTTTAACTTAATTTCATGTATATTTTGTCATCGATGGTAGACCTAACGCATAGTGCATTCCTGGTATTGCCTTCTCAACAATGATTTAACGATCCGTGCCGTACCCTTTGATATATTTTAAATGAATATTGATTACCACATTACAATTAAAATCTTACACTCGTGGCTAAATAATAATGTTATTCAGTCATGGTAACTGCGACTATGAAACATAATTATTAATTTATTTTATGTCATTTCTAATATTACTATATATACATATATATTTATATTATTCTTTGACAAATAATTTTTATATCGAGATGCGCTTAAAAGTTTTACAAAACTTCTTAGCATCTTCAAAATTTGTGTAAGTACAATATCGCCAAAACTTTTTTCAGCAAAATACTTAAATCTGACCACGTGAATGATGGTCGTTAAATATCATATTCTACTAATTTAATATGTCGAGATTTTATAGCTTATATAAAACAAAATATTTACATTACTAAGTATCATTATTTTGTGTCTGGTTTGATGATTTTTCAAATTAATTTTAGTGCTAAAAAAACTCAAACGCTTGGGTTATGTTTAAAGTCGACAACCAAGGGATGTTGTAACACAGCAAACGAACCGCCTCTTGATTTCGAAAATTTACAAACTATGCAAGACAGTAATATTATTAATTATCAGCACTAAATAAATCCAATAAAAATTGAAATAAGCAGTAATGTTGCGTTTTCAGTCAGAGAGAAACTTCATAAGATGATGGGTATGTCTGGGAAGTATGAGCATAAAGACAGAAGTCATCTGTTTAAATACTTACCTGAAAGTCGAGACGAGTTACCACCTCGTACTATGAAAGTAAGTTAAAGTACAGATATATTAACATTCTCTAAACTATATTATACGTTGTATAGGTGCTTTAAATTATATTGTTTTGGAGTAATTTTATACATTTTCGAAATACATATCATTACAAATAAATCGAAACTTAAAACTTATATATTGAATATAAACTATTTAAATGATCACATTATTACACAACTGTAAAATTATTTTACAGGACAGTTTTGATAGAGCTTTAGTACCATTAAGTAGTAACATAATGTTACAGAATAGGTATACGACTACCCGTAAAGGTTTACGAGTTGGTAGACTTTTAGAAGATATGGATTTGTTTGCTGGTAAAATCAGAATTATTATAATTATTTTTTTTAAAGTATATTAAATTAATGTTACTGATATTTTTAGTTTGGATTGTTTTCAAGCATATTTATAGTCCCAAAATTCCATTAGATGTACCACATCCATATGTTGCTGTAACGTTATTAGTGGACGAAGTAATCGTACATCCAAAGCGTTATGTAAATTTGTTCCAAAAATATATACATATTTAACTCTTTTACATAACTAGATATATATGCTGATAAACATTAATTAAATATTGCTTGTAGCCTGATAAAGATTTAATACTCAGTGGACACGTATCATATGCCGGAAAAACCTCAATGGAGATTACTCTGTGGTTGGATCAGCTTCAGGATAATAAATTACAACGTGTCACGAATGCAAATTTTGTGTTTGTTGCAAGAGATCCTTTAAATAAATCATCTGTTTTAGTAAACGAACTAGAACCAAGTGGAGATGACGAAAAGGAACTTTTAAAACTATCATTAGGTATTATTTTACAAACATAATTAAATTTATTATCTATAAAAGATACTATACTAAGTTTCTATACTTACAAATTAACGTAGAAGTGATAAAAATAATAATCAAAAACAATTTTACCTTTGTGTTAATTTAAATGCAAATTAAATTGTACTAATAAATTTTTGTTTAAAAAAAATAGTAGTTTTACAATACATACTTACAATGAAATAAAATATCATATTAATGTGTATGAGCAGCCTACACCATCATGATTTAGATCAACGAAATAATAAAAAGCTAATTTCAAATTATTTAGAAAGAAATGAAATTAGAAAAAAAGTTCGTCAAGACTCAATATTGAATAAAATGCCTAATCCTGAAGAACAAGAATTGATTTATAAAACATTTTTAAAAACTGTCGATGAGAAAGAACCGATGTTGGGTAACAAAGTCCTTCCGCAGGATAGTGTATGGATGGAAGATACTAAAATTGAATCCAACATCCTTTGTCATCCCGAAGTAAACTATTTTTATAAATAAAAGCCGTTCCATAATTTTATAAGTACAAGGTGATCAAACTAATGTAAGGCGCTAAATCTGCTAGATACGTTACAAATTAAAACTTTTTTTTTTATACTCATTTGCATTAGGTACCCTCAAGTTAATCTTTGAGGATACATACATTTTATTTGAAACTTGTCATAGGCAACCTAAAAAAGCATTATTATTGTTAATATTTAAAATTTTAACTTTCTCATTTTTCTTAAACTTTATAAATTTGATTGGCAAACTATGTAAATATTTAAAATAGTTATAAAATCAACAATCTGCTGAAAATAAATATTACCAATAATCTGTTTTTAACAAGTACTTTTAAAGTCTATAGCATTTAATAGTTGTGGGCATGTGTGTAAAAAAATATACATTAAAATATAATATATTTGACCAATGCCCCAAATTACCTATAATGCCCCATGTTGGCCCGTTTGACGGTAAGAGTATACAAAACTGAAAGAATTTAGTATCTTACATTAAATTAATTATCCTGTAGATTAGATATCTAAACATTTTTTCCTTACAATAATTAGGACAGAAATTTACATAGTACTGTATTTGGTGGTTATTTGATGCGAATGGCAACTGAACTCGCTTATCTAGTAGCAAGCGTTCATTCTAAAAGCCAAGTAAAAGTGAAAGCCATTAATAGTATAGCGTTTCGCAATGCTGTTCCAATTGGTAGCCGTTTAAGACTAATTGGCAAAGTAAAGTATACATAACAGTTAATTATTTATAAAACTAACATTTTTGGTTTATTAATTATTAGATTTGCTTCACTATTGAAAAGACTATGGTTATAGAGGTTATAGCAAAAGTAGATAAAGTAGAAACTAAAAGTAGTATAACTACAAACTCGTTTTACTTTGTTTATAAATCGCCAAATGATGTTAAACATGTATTACCTCAAAGTTATCATGGTAAAATTGCAATTAGATCTATCATAAGACTTCTATATTCATGGGAATTTTTTTTTTCCAGACGCTATGCTTTATATAGATGGTCGCCGAAGATTTTTAGATATTAGTCATAGTATAACAAATGGTGAATCATAACTAATAAAAAGTACACACAAATTATTGTTGAATTTTCATACATTTTTAAAAGTTTTTTGAAATTGTCGATTATGTTTTCGCTGAAAAATTGAATTGATTATAGTTGGTTTTATGTTCATCAAAGAAAGTTTTAAAGATGGATATTCAAACATTTGTTGTTAAATATATACAGCATACTCAAAAGAAACTCAGAAAAATAGTCATATTGATTTTGATTTAATTTAATAATTAAGTAATTAGATACCAAAGTAATTAGGTACCAATAAAATAATTGTGTACATTTGTAATTATACAAATTGTACCTATGAATGTGTTTTTGTTCTGAAGTAATCATAGATTTTTGTCCTTTTTGTACAATGACATGTTTTTACTGATCATACATGAGAAAATAAAATTATTATTAAATTCTAAACAACAACATTTTTATTGATAAACTTTTTAATTATTAAACTATACCTGCAGGATTATTTTAGCGGCAGATATTTGTTGAGAATTAAGTTTTTGATTGAATTGCTTTGCTTATGATAGTTTTTATACATATATATATATATAATAGTAATCAAGTTACTTTATTATTCATGTCAGTGTCTTTTAAGTTTAAACATTTCTAAATTAGTATTTATTACTTGATACTTATGGTAATTTTTTCGGTGTATTCATACAGTGTTATTATGCAGGTCTAAATGATGAAAAAAAAATGTTATTTAAAACTTTAATTTAATTATTAAATGCCATAACAATAGTTATAAAATATTTCAAAACTAACATAAAATAATAATGATGATGATCAATCGCTAAATTTTCAATGGTATATTTTTTATTGTAAAAGGAAAACATAAATTGAATTATACTAAAAATTATACCATCATAAGTAATATTTATAAAAGAAGTTTCTAATTTTAAACAAAATATTTTTTTTTAAGTACACAGACATGTGTATGTATCTGTAGCGCGACTCAAAAATAGGACCAATACTAATTTATAGCCAAAGTAAGTCAGATTAGTCATTATTTTGTTGGACACTACTTCTATATTTTTAAATAAAAATAAAACTGTATCCTTACTTTGTTGTTTAAAAAGTTACACTTGTTTTAAAAGAAAACAATGTATAGACTAGTATGGAAAATATTACTTTAAAAAAATACTGACCCATTAAAACGTAAGTTACAGAGATATTCAGGATAGTATGATTTTAATTCACCGATTTTCCAATTTATCTAGCTATGTTATGATAAGGTATTTCATATTTTTAGTTAAATTTTTTTGGTTTTATAAGTTTGGCTAGAAAATAAAAACATTTTTGTTTTGAGACAAAAATTAAAAATTTTTCTCTTATCAGTTATCTTACGTATGTACTAGAGTTATCTCCATAGACGATTTGTCAATATTGACAAAAACAATGCGTTCAGATTAAAACCTAAAACTTAAATGTTTTACTGAATTTGTAATTAATAATTTAAGATATTTTTTCAATAGATATAATTAAAATCTAATCTATTGATTAAAAACCATATTAAGTTCTTCTAATTAAAAAAAAAATGTAAATTTTGATTAAATTAATACGATGCTGACCGCGACCAAATTACATTGGATTTAATGATAACAACTACATCAATACTTTTTGAATACATCATCACGTTCACTTTTAGTGTCTCGTTTACAAACTTCAACAAATTTGTTTACTAGTTATGGATGATGAGTTGTCGGATCCTTTGAAACTTGTTGGTAGTGAGCCAGTTCAACTGAAATTCGGCTCAACATTTTCAGGCAAAGGTCCTGGTTTCCATACACTACGATGTGAGTAAATCTGTTGTTGAACAAAAAGCTGTCATCTCAGTATTGAAAATTTTGTTTTTTTTTTCCATATACCTTTTACATTGTTTTGTTTAAACTACTACTCATACAATTACGACCGAATTATATTATAATATCTTAGAATTACAGATATAGCAATGTTAACCCATATACGTTTCAGAAATTAATTAAATAATACTTATTTTTTTGTCAATTTATTACCTTAGGATAACTAATGTAAATCTGACCTGCTAATAGTTTTTTATGGTTATAGTTTTAATGTTACAGCAATATTGGTTTTATATACTTAATCGATGTAGGCATTTGATCTACTTGTATGTGTAATACTTCAATTCCATTTTTTTATTCATCATATTAATTACAGTTCATAGATGAAAAATAACATTTCTGTACTAATTAGTAGAAATTGTTTAATTGTAGATTCATTTTTTAATAATGTATTATAAACAACAGCAATTGTTTGGTGTTTTAGATGACTTTAAGCCTGCTAGTGTAGATGTAAACAAACCTGCAAGTGTCGATATTGATCCGTCAAATCGGGAAGTTACTGTCACAGTACCCAATTTTGAGGGTGCTGGTGCTGCACATACAGTGTTCAAAGGATCACATAAAGATTATACAACAAAAGAATGTGTACTAATCATTGACCACGCTACAGGTGAAATAACGTTAGAAAAACTCACTACTAATGTACAACTCAAAACAACTAGGTAATTATCTGTTAAAGTAGTACCGTATATTCATTTAAGCTTCATTTTGTGGACACAATTTTATACTTATCAAAAACTTTTAGAAATGCGGTTGAAAAGCCCCAAAAACCTATTGTGAAATTTAATCCAGTTATGCCGGAAAACAATATACCAACTACTGTAAATAAGCAGCCAAAAAGCCAAGCTCAACCAACAAAAAAACAAGTAAAAATATATTTAAATGAAAATCCCTAGTGTCCACTACTCAGTATCACTCATTTATTAATTATAAATAACCTAATTTATAACAACTTTTGTATTCTGTACTATATGTTTAAAATCTAAATTATTCAACTTAATATTTTTTTTTTTAAATATCAGTCACGAATGTGTTAAAATTGTTTTATTAAATTGTTTCATCATCTAATTTAGAATTAATAAACGTTATAACTTATAAGGAAAACTCACCCATTTTTTTTAAACTTAGATATTTTGTATTTATTGCAGCCCTGTGATGATTTGGTACCAGCAGCTAGAGATCTGGAACTGAGTGAGTCTTCTAGTGATTCTGAATCGAGTAGCTCGTCTGACAGTGATAGTGATGATTCAATATCACCCCTACCATCCCCCAAGAGTGAGGCTAAACAAACTACACCCACTTTTAGTACATTTAATTCAAATGGTAAGTGCATAAAACTGTTAACAAAAATAAATTAGATTTAATACTTTGTTATGTGTTTTAGGCTTTAAAGAACGATTAGTTGATCCAGAACGTATTTTAGATGAAGACCTTCAACTTTCTGAATCAGACTCCGACTGATTACCATTTTATGACACAAATACCAAATACTATGAATGAAGTCCTTCAGTCTTGTGTCAACGATGATATTTTTTTCATATAAATAATGTATTTTTAAACCTACTTAAATATATATATATATACATATATAAATACAAAAATATACCAAGTTATCGTAAAGTTTGCTAACAACTATCCTTCACGAGTGATTAATGCTCCTTTATTACCTTTTATTAACGATTTCAAGCAGAGAACAGAATCATGTTTTTGAGTTGTGAATTATGTGTCAGATATCACATTGTGTGAAATCAGATAATTTGTCAGATTATTTTGTCTCCACTTGATGAGTGTATATCTAATATTGTGTATTTTTAATTGTTTGTTAGTTCATTTGATCTGTTCAGAAAATATGTTCTGCCTACTTTAAAAATATGTTATCCTTTTAAAATGATCCAGTGTGTTATTTATAAAAAAAGAAACAAATTATAGCAACAAAAAATGTTTAAAAAAATAAAATAAGAATTATTAGTATAATTAATCCCATTTATTTAACAGTAAAATATACATTTAAAATAACAAAAACTACAATAAAACGGTAAACATTATTATAATATAACTAAAAAAGTAAATAATAAATATTCTATTAAACATTTATAATATTTTTATCTTCAATTTTATCACAAAAAGATAATAATCTATTAAGGTGGATCCACATTGAAAATAATTGTTATAAAACCATACGAAGAAATGTGTTTTACAAATAACTGAGAGTATTGCTACATATTAAAAAATACCTTCTCTTTAATAAAATTCATATGACATATTATTTTAATTGTATAGGTGTGATCTGAAATATCTAACAAAAATAATACCATCTAATATGTAATATGGGACAAAAAGACTTGATAAATAATGTAACAGCTACAAAAAATAACCCTTATGACTCACGCCCTGTATTTCATTTATTTGCTTTGGAATGTTTAACGAGAAAAAAGACTTGTTTTTATGTTAAAAACAATGTCTATCCTTAAGCTGATTAATGATTTACTCATTGCGAGATTAACACCAATAATTTAGAGCCATCATTACCATCAAAGTAACAATGTAAATAAAAAAAAAATGTTATTACGTAAAAATTAAATTTTAAAAATATAAATAATAAAAAAAAAATGTTGAAACATAATTAAAAATATAACATTCTAATATATACTTTACTGAAAACTAGTGGTCGACTTATCACATGATTTCTATTACCTATATAATATTTTACCTATCAATTTAGTTAATACTGTGTATATAAATGATAAAAAAATACACATACCTATATTTTTTCGATACTGAAAGTACTGTCTAAATATGGGTTACATCTTAGTTGTACATACAATATAATATTATTAAGTACACTTATAAATACAATAATATATGAGAAAATAAATAAATGGTGTTTTGTTTGATTGACTAAATAATTGATAACATTAAATTAAATAAAGCACCATATTAACGGGCATTATGGACTACACTATAAAAATATGTATTTTGCACTATTCGTTGTTAATATTTTGAGAAAGTCGGCGTTTTAGTCTTTAGATTTAAAATGTTTTACGATTAACAAATGTATACTAATATATAAATCACCAAGAAGAATAAATAAAAAGTCAAAATTAATTTCAATAATTGCACAGCATTAATTTTGGTATAGTGACTAAATCGAATACTAACAAAAGAACACAATTATTAAAAATTAATCATAAATGGTTATCCAATTTGATATAAATTTATCACTTTCTAAAGATAGTAATATGGTAAATTAGTAATTAAAATATTGGACAAATAAAATTTCTAATTTATAGAAAAAAAATAAACAAGAAGAACGAGGGAGCCAAATTATAGAACCATATTGTGCACGTATGGTGAAGTCGAATTGAGTAATCCTATTCGTTGTCGTTGTTTACGTTGTTCAGTCATCTGATAAAAAAAACGATCAATAGTAAACAAACATATAAACAGCATAGATTTTGTTATCATCTTTAAAAGGTACCTGATCTCTAAGTTCTGATAGTTGCTGTGATAAAAACGCCACGACTGTTTGAGTGTTTTCCAATTGAACTTGGAGACTCCTCAACTCGACTTGTTCGCCTTCACTTTCTACCGCAGCTAACGACATAGCCCTCAACCTGGGGAACCAATCTAAGTTTCGATCCTGTAAAAACACGATTGAAAAATAATACAAATTTAAAACACTTTCGAACTTAAAACTCACTTTAACCATAGCATAAACGTAGCTTTCTGGCCCTGTAAACTCAGTCGGGTCTTTAACTTTAACAAGAACAATAAAATATAAATAATGCCACATATTGTGTTCGCATTTAACATGCTCTTCAAAACTAACAGTTTTGTTGTCAAATGCTGATCTGTTAAGACCTAAAAATGTAAATACAATATTAAATTACTACTGTTAAATTATTAAAACACTTTAAAAAAATGTGGCGATTTACTTACCACATACAAAACACGTATTTTTTAATATAAGTTCTTTTTGTTGTTTTTCGCTTCTAAGGTCAGCAAATGTGTCAATAATCACACCAAAAATTAAATTAAGTACAATAATTATCACAATGAAGAAGAATAGTAAATCATAAACGACTCTAGCTACAAACAAAGGCTCCTGTAATAGAAAAAAATTAAAGTTGGTTGCTTTAAAATCATTTTGGATTCTTAGGTTTTTTTTACCTGGCTACTCGGTGCACGAAGGATATCGCCTATCCCACCACCGTTTCGGAGCCCTTGATTGAGTGTGGTAACTATACACATAACTAATGAATCGCAAGCCCTTTCTTTCACCTCTCCGTCAATAACGACCACTTTAGAATTTTCTTTAGGCTCTATAGGGCTACAGTTATTGCCTAGAGAACATGTTTCATCCTCGTTCTCTATTATATTTGACGCAGCTAAAACACAAACACTATTTGTTAAACTATTCAGTATTTCTACTACAACAGTTATTATTATTATATCAACTTACAATTAATTTCATCGTCTACATTAACGAGAAAATCATCTTTGAAGAACATATAGCCAATTATTGAAAACATATAGACTAAAATCAATGCTAATACTGCTGTTAATATGATTGAACGACCGTTACGTGTTACAGAACGGATAACATTAAGTAATGTTTCTTCTCGATACACGACGTCCAAAAGCTGTAAATCATAAAAAGATACTTTGAAATAATTTAAATGAACAACAATTTATTTATAATTCATTAATATTTAATACATACCAATACACTGTAAAAGAATGGATGCATACACAAACCAAGAATACAAAACATTATGTACATCAAATGATAAAGTATCTCTGCGTCAGTTAAAATTTGGTTAAACTTTTTTGTAAATGTCCCTTGATTTCCCATTATGCTTATTATGTGTATGCTTTTCATAATAACCTTTAGATTAAACATAAGTACATTATATAGTTTTAATCTCAGCAGTTCATATGATTAATTCAAGACATATAATTTACCGTGACAGTTCCTAAAAACCAGAGTGCGGGCTCTGGACCTATGGAATATATAAGCCTTAGTATAGTAGATATGACCAAAGTACGAATGCCTGACCCGCCGGGAAGTGCAAAAACCACAAACGCAGAAGCAAAAAGCACCACCCATATCAAAATAGAAATGTGTGAACTCAGGCCTAAAACAGCAATTTTATATTAAATTAGGCTCTTTTTTCTTTACATTTAAAAAAAACCTATACACATTCTTACTTGGCACTACATCTTCAAATGGATAAAAACAAGCAACTATTAGATTTATAATCACAGCACAATTAAATAATATGTTACTCCAAAGTGACATAAAACTGCTAACCCAAAATAATGATGGCCTTCCTGTAAAACAATACTTATTTAACTCAAAATTGTTGAAAAAGATTTAAAAACGATTTGCAAACCTCGTAATTTTTTTTGCCACACCATTTCACTGAACATGTCTTCAGTTTTTTCAAAGAAATCAGACACCTTTGAACCTTGATCGTCTCTTTCAGCTGTATGGTAAATTTTTACTTTTGTATCATGTGTCAAGTATTCACAAATCTCCGGGATAGGAAAAACAATTTGTTCTAGCGTACGATCATGGCGAACAATCTAAAAATATAGTGCTACTAAAATATCTGTTTGTACAATCGTATTAAAATAAAATGTTACGTACTTCAATTTGTGCTGTATGTGAAGCATAGTAAACCAATGCTTCGTTTATCTTAGGATCTATATTTATTTCAGAGGGTTTTAATAAAGATGCAAGCTCTTTGTTGTGCTGAGCTAATTGATGACACAAAATATAGATATTATGCCCTACCTAAAAATAATTTTAATTACTACATACATCAAATATTACACCATAAAATTATATTAATTTACTTCTTTTGGAGATACTCCATCTTCGCTCTCAGTAGAAGAATCATCAACATCATCATCCTCTAAAGTCTCTTGATAAAACGCACGACAGGCAACATCAACCTAAATTTCATTATCTAAGTGTTAATATAAAAGAATTAAGTAAAAAAATGTATTTGAATTTATAAATTACTAACCAACTGTTTTGGATTCATGTTGTAAAGAATACGTTCAGCATTTTCACTATCTCCTCTGCTCTCCATAATTGCCAGTAACAATTTGGAAGCATTATTTTTTAATTCTAATACAAGATCCATTCTTGTTTTACCAAGCGGATTAATGTCATTTAAAATTAAAGCCGTAATTATGTCTAACCCGTTAGACTCATGAGTTGCAATACAATTTTGGTTATCGTGACAAGGACCCTATAATAAAAGTTTTGTAATTTAATTTCAACAGAAATATATATAAATTATTAAAACTAATTATACCTGACAGTATTCGGTGAGAGTTTCTAGTGTCTGATTAATGAGACTGACGTTATACTCATTGATGTATAGACCTAATAATCCAAGACCACCAGTAGTAGAACCACATATACAATCCAAAAACATTAATGTTTCCGAAACAAGATTATAATTTGATTTATTGTTTTGGTTACGAAGTAAATTCTAAAAATTGAATACAAAGTAAATATACAAACAAGTTCAAAACATTTTAGCATTTTAATAAAATAACTAGTAGATAGAGTCTTACTTGTAAATCTCTATTGTGATTTTCACAAAGGAGTTGCAAAAATCTCAAAATAGGTTGCATCACTAGTATTTTAGTGGACAATTTATTTTGATTTTCCTTTTCCCTTTGTTTTTCAAGCTTTTCGACCAGAGTGTCATCTAACATGGCATTATGAGAAGTTGAGTGGTTTATTTCTTCTTCACCAACTATTAAAAAAACAAAATAGTATGCGAATTAATAATATTATTTAACAATTATCAGTATCAGGGAGGACGAGTAGCCAAGTGGGTAAGGCAGCAGTGTGTTAGAGCTCACTGCTCGACCTATGGTAACAGGCGCTCCGTTTGCTTGACAAGCAATTCTCCAGTGAAAAGGAGCTGCCTCCCTTTCTTCGGTGATGGACAGACAGCCCATCCCGAACAGCGAATCAGTCAAGAAACAATTATCTCAAAATAGCAGCATTGGGCATTAAATGCTTGTCAAGCTGATGACGATGAATAATTATCAGTTTATAAAGCTTACCAGTTGGCAAATTTCTAGCGCCAGCGTATGCTTGACTAGTCGCTAATGCCGCTTGATTTAATTCTTCTCGTAGCTCATCGGTCAATATCATTCCATTTGTTTTTACTAAATTAAAATTACTTAAATTAAAATTGTTATTTGAAGAAAATTGTACGTCTTACTAATTTACTAAATATACCTTTCTTTTTAAGGTTTTTTTCAAAATCTTTTCCTTGATCTCCTTTATCAGCATTGTCTTTAACCGCCATGTCCGATGTATTAACAGAAACAGTGGATTTAATTTCCTGTTGAGCATCTTTCATTTTGTCGTAAAATACCTAAAATTTTAAATGTAAGCAGTAAGTTAATATTGTTTCTGCTGTTATCATTTTACAACTGAATTTTTTATATTTTAATTATCTTTGATCGTACCTTAAAGAATAGCTGGCAAAGATCACCGCCTAAAAGTTTATTGTATACACTACGCTGTATGACCGGATTACCTCCTTCCAATAAAGCGATTCCCAACTGCACAGCTTCCACAAATATTGAAGGCGGCGAGTGAATTGATTTTATAACCAACTCGACAACTAAATCTGATGCTCCGTCGTGATCTAAATGACTTTGTACTTCATTTAGCGACAATCCAGCACGTCCCAAAAATTTAGCTGATAAAAATTTATTTTGGTTAAAATAAGTAAAGTAATATACTATAAAATATTTCCCACATACCACCCGGACCATGAGTAACCACTTGTTTAATGTTAGGTTGTATTGCAGAATCTAATAACTGTTGTTTCGCATCAAGAGAATTTCCAAAATATCTATTCAAAAGACTAAGCCTTAAAATATCACCCTGTAAATAATATAATTTATTTTATTAGAATTAACTGACAATTTCAATGTTTTATTTATCCTACAAAGCAAAAACGTTTTATATTACCTTTTCGCCATATTCTAAATCAATGGCCATCATTTCTTGCAATGTCTTCAAAACTTTAACACATAGCTTATCTTCTTTTTCTTCTAATAATTGCTCTGTATGTTTTATGAGTCTAAAGTTTTAAGTAAAATTATAACAATAAATTAAAAATTAATGGATGAAAAAAAAACTATTGTCTTTTTAATTGTTCATGCTATTAGATATAAATTATATAGTAATCAAACCTTAAATAATGTTTACCTGTGAATGAATCCGCCACTTTCACATCGTTCTCTTGCTTCTGTTCCCAAAGGAAACAACAATTCTGGTCTGTATAATATATCAACTAATAACGAAAGTTCTGCTTGCACTAATGGTTTCAACTGATCTTCCAATAGTAAAACGATATCTTGAAGTCCTTCAATTATACTTTTATCTAGACGTATTAACTGTAAAACATAAATTTCAAACATTATAAATATGTTTATTGTTTATTTTAAGTTAAACTGCAACAGTGAAGTCACTATTATTATTTTACAAATACTACTTCAAATTAAAATAGGAGTAGGTAATTTTATCAATTTTTTGTTAGTTTCTATTACAAAATATTTCTGAAATGATAATAGATTGGTTTATTGAAAGTTTTAAAGAAATAATTTGGGAAAAGCTTTGATTTGACATCATCAAGTATCAAAATTCGTCATGCCACCAAAAGTATATTTTTCATAAATCAAAAGACTATTGAACTAATTAAGTTATTTCAAATGATAAAAACCTATACCTGAGACTGTGATCTTTCTATTTTAGGCGTTTTGGCAGCTTGTAACCATTTAGTTGTTTGCCTAGACAGAAGATTTGAGGATTTATTAAACATAGCAATTATTTGAGACTCCATTTGTGATGGAATAGCAATTGATCTTGTCTTGGCTGTAACATTTAAAAAAAGAAAACTTTCAAATTATTTTAAGTGTAATATGTACATTAATAAATAATAAAGAAAAAATAGTTGACTAACCAACTTCAGCCAAAGTACGTATAGTGTTTTCAACATTAAATCTTTGGGTAGCAGTAAGCCAAGTACATTGAGAAATGCGAAATGCTGCTTGAAGTAGTTGAATAAAAATGGGTTGTCGAGCCTACAAACAAAAATAAGTTTTCTTGTAAATAATCAATATTACATAAAATATCACAGTTACTTACCTGAACCGTAGTACTTTGATCTGAAAAAGGGCTATTAAAAAAAGTGCTGATAACAGTCATAATACCATTAGTAACATACGATTCCATTGCTATGTCAGAGTGTTTGCGCTCACTACTATTAATTATTACTGTGTTCATATCGACCAAGAAACTCTTTTCAAATAAGCTCCACATGTGGTTTGATGCATAAATTTCTTTCATTTCTACCTCAGTATCAATGTAACAGTGGTTAAGAAAATTAATATATGCTTCTTTAACCTGAAAAAAGTAGTTACAACATTTTTTTAAAATATTAATATATTATATATAGTTAAATAATAACAAATCACAAATTCAATTATTAAAATAATATATACCTCAGGAATACAGTCAGGATGAGACACCATAGTAACAATATCATCTAACGGTAATAAGCTGTGACATTTAATTTCTGTGTAAACGTTCTTGCCCATAGTACAGCATGCGAGCAATTTGACTAATTCAATATGGTATCTGCGTAAAAAAAAAAAAAAACAGTAAAAATTAAAAAAGTTAATTATCACAGAATTTAGAGTAAGAATCATGTGTGAAAACCAACCTAAGGGCACTACTTTCTTCCATTCGATGCCTTTCAGATTGCATCATAGATACAAATTGAGTAAATGAAGACTTATCATTATAAAAAATAAGAACGTCCTCTCCAGCATTGACCAACTAAATATAAAGTAATAACATTATTATCGGTTATTTTACAATTAATTATGAACATACAAATCTAATGATTTACATACTTCTTGCATGACCATATCTTGCGATTTTCGAATAAACTGATTTTCGGCTTTAACAATTGTTTGGAAAAATTTTAAATATTGAACATGTTTCCCGTGAGTCTCTATGCAATGAATAAAATGTTGAATAACTTTATCGCTAACTTCATTGCACAATGTAGAATTGTCTTTAAAAATACTGCAAACAGTTTCTGCTTCACGTATCTATAAAAAAAACACCATATCAGTTAACATTGTAAGTGACCAATCGACTAAATATAAAAATATTAATTAATAATAATAGTAACCTATTTAATTACCTCGGGATTCAAGAATAAGTCCAAATGCTTGTGTAATAAAACTTGATTTTGCTGATTTCCAAGGCAAAAGTTTTGTAAAAATTGATGAGCTAGTCGCATTAGTTCATTCATTCTGATGTCTTCTTTTTGGTCATACGGCACTTGTAACAAATCTAATACAATAGTGTGCACACCAACATTTCTCAACAACCTTTGCTCGTGTTTTCTTGGTTTTAGAGGGGATCCAGGAACACGAATAACACAAAATTTGTTCATTCTTATCAAAATCTAATTTAAAACATATTTTCAATAAAATACTACACGAATAAAAATATTTCTAGTGTTCACTATTATTTTGTATTTAAAAAAAAGTACATACTAGTTGAATTTTCTTGTATTCTTCAGCCTGTTCGGGATGTATTGGTGGTCCCACATCTAAATCTATAGCTGATCCTTGTTTTCCAATTGTTCCAATAGCAGCGATAACTTTTGAAGAAGAGCTACGACTATCTCGACCCGTAACATCTTCTTCTTCTTCTCCTTGACCCATTTTTTTTCCGTGTTCATCATTACCTTTGGATTTGTAAACCCACAATTCAGATTTCTCAACAGACTGCCTTAATAGATCCAAATCAGATTTGATTTGCTTATATGTCTCAACGTCAGAATCGGACACTAATAATTGAACCTAAACAAATTATATAATTAAAATTAAATTTAGATGTAGAAAAATTCAAAATTTGTGAACAAAAACGTTTATTAATAAAACACTTTACTTGTTTAAAAGCTTGTAATACTTCTTGACGTTGACTAAAATGTCTGAACAACAAATGCAAAGCTCCAGACACAAGTGATGGGTAATCATGCATGGTCAAATGAAGTAAAACTCTCAAAAACATTCTGCCTCCATTGTTATCTAAATCTAATGCTGCACACTCTTCACTATAAACAACAAACCAACTCAAAACACTTAAAACAAAAACTGGTTAATTGAAAAAAAACCTATAAAATAATAATTTTTTTTTTCTAAATGATATTTTATTTAAAATTTAATAGATGTTTCATTATAAGTATTATATACTAGTTAAGATTTTGGAAAAACACAAATATTTAAAATAGAATATTTTGACTTTTTATTTAAAACAATTAAATACATAAAACACTTTTTATTATTTATAGGAGTTTTTTAGAAAATACTATCAGGGTTAACAACAAAATATTTTAGCATTCTTTTAAAGCTCATATGCATGCAATATATTTGTTTATTTTTTAGTAAATGATTGTACTAGTGAAATATAAATGTAAAAAATTTGATTATTTTTAAATAATTTAAGCTTCAAAAAACATTATTAATTTAATATAAAAAAATATCAACAAGTCTATAGTACTTTAAGATTTTAGTAAAGAACTATTAAAAAAAAAAAAAATTGGTAGAAGTAACAACAAACATTAGCAGAAACAACAATATAAATATAAATACCTTTCTCCAAATATTCCTTCTGCCTGTGTTCCAATGAACTCTAAATCGATTGACTTGTGATCTATCAATATGGTTTCATAGGATGTTGATTTTTCTATTTCATCAAACTCGCGTTTAAAAATTGATAATAAACAACTGATACGGTAATCCAGTCGGACATCCAAAATAAACTATAATGCAATAAACAATTAATATTACATATTTCAATTGATTGTTAAACATGAATTACTTGTAATATTTCAATTATTTTTAATTTTGTATCCATCACAAGAGGGTATGCTTCTTTTTTCAATAAACATAATTTACTATTCGATTTTGGTTTGGTAGGTGAATGATGAACACCATTTCCTCCAAGTGTAAGTCCTGTAACTACTGCTCCCATATCACCAATGGACCTTAGAACACCTCCATCAGCTAATTAAATAAACAAGGTTTAGTGTGAAAAAAGAACTCAAATGTTAAAGACAAAAATAAAACTTAATGAACATAAATTACGTACCATTACAATGCATTTCTCCTGATGAGCTCTGATCACCGTTGAAATCATTTTCAGAAACACAGTCAAGAATACTTAGCAATGTTTTAGTCAAACGCAATAAATCACTAAAACTGTAGAACCCAAAGTAAATGAGATCTCGTGCCAATTTTACTACCTAAGGAGTAATAAAAATGTAATGTACTTAATTAAGAAAACATTTTGAGCATTTAATTACCTCAAATGTGAGTTTGTTTTGTTGGGTATCTTGAAAACTCCATGCTTTTGCGACCACGTTGAATAAATAATCTTCCACAAATGATATTGTAGAGCTAAATCTCGAGCGAACTGCTTCTTTATTCGGGTCAGGTGTCCGATTATTGTCATAGCTAACATTAAACAATAGTTTTATTTATTTAAAAAATTCTAGCTTGATACATAATTTTTAAATAATATCATGTAGTTCTAGCATTCCAACTTACTCATTAATACTAATTTTTGAAGGTATTTCTGACCATAATCTGGCATATTTAACAGGAGTCACAGGTTCCTGTGGATCTCTATCCACGTGCAAATGAAGCATCAACCGACAAAATGATGCTCTCAAATCGTATCTAACGTCTTCATCGGCCATACATCTTTACAACATACACACAAAAAAGATGATTTATGAAAATTTAATAAGGCAAATTAAGTAATAAATTTAAAGATTACTTTAAAATCAATTCAATATCTAAATGTGGTGATAGATTGTTCAAGGCTAGATACTGACGATTGAGACACATGTTAGAAAATAAATTCAATTGATGCCTATAGTATTCTAATAAATACCATTCGTTTTTATTTCCTCTTCTAGCATCTTTTGATAATTCAACTAATGATTTCTTATACTGCAACATAATACAAATTTAGTCATAGTACATTTTCTTTAAAACAAGTAATGTGTGTTACTTTTCCATTATTCCACAGTAAAACAACTTCAGCATCATTTTCATAATTTGTTAAAATTAAGATATCAGTAGATTTGTTTTCTTCTAGGGTCGGAGATTTTATCATGCTAAAATAAAAAAAGCCATTGTAAGTTTAAGTTTAATTTTATTAAAACTGAAACAAGCCATCTTCAACTAACCGTGTTTCTATTAATATATCAGAATTCTTTGCACTCAGAACACTTTTACAAATCAACTCCTGTGTGATGGCAATAGCTTTTTTATTAGATATACATAAATCGGAAAGATAGTCCAAAAAACGTGATTGCCAGTTATGCATGTTTTTACGAACTAGACCCACAAACGTTTCAATTTCAGCTGCCGTAATATGCTTTTCTAAGAGTTTACGATTATTGTGCAAAAGAGCAGTTATAGTATCTTCTGCTAGTATATCATAACCAATTTGTTTTTGCATAAATCCAAAATGCTTAGCAATATATTCCTAAATCATAATTATTAGCATTCAGTATGCAATATTATATATTTTATTACTAAAAATAATTACCTGATTTTTTCTATAGTCGTGTTGACTCAATCTTAATATACGATAACAAAGCCTAAACATATACTTGTAAGGCGCATATTTTGGATCATTCATTTCTTCAATTTTTAAAAAAGGACCTTCACCATCAGCTGTTTCCATAAATGGAGCTTGAAGTATTTTAAAAAGCTGTTTTAAAATATATTGCTCTCGAAGTAGTTTTTGACGATCTCTACAATATTTCATTTGTCATAATTAAAATAAAGATTTATCAACATGAAATAAAAACTATTTTACATTGATATTGTGCATACCGATTAGGGTTAGGTACTGTTAAATCCAACGCTTCTGCTTTATTTTGTTCATTTTCCAAATCAGCAACAAAATAAACTACATCTTGAAGCAAAGTTGTTACAGCTCTATAATTGTATCAATTTAATTTTAAAATGAGAAAAAAAATTAGGTTTTTAATTATATAGAATTTTTTTTGTTTTTTTAATACATATTTTGAAATAAGTAATAGTTTCTTATTATTGTTGTAGTATGACTGTTTCGTTAATTGGCTAAAGTAAGGGGAAATGACTGTTGATAGAATTAGACCTTGTAAATTCTACTATAACGTAACTATAATAGCTATTAGGTGTAATTACCGCCGTTCATTAGATGATATTGTTCCTTGTTCTAATTTAGCCGAATTAAACGCCAATACTTTACACGCATCGTTGGCAAAATCCAAATCTCGTACTTCAGATGGCGAAACTGAAATCAGAGCAAATGCTTCTTTATCTTCTTTTACGGGTGCACTTCCCACCTAATTATATGAAAAAAAATCAACATTAGCAATCTAAACGTTAAAAAAGAAAAACCATTAAAGAAGATAACTAAAGGAGAATCTAACCTTAGACATGACAGGTTTTTCTTCATCTTTATCAATAGGAATCGATGTACTATGTACCCAAGTGTTAGTGCATAAATGATGTAGTCTAACATACGATGATTGTGGTACTAATGAATCACCTCGGCTCAATGTTGTTGGATCAAGCTCAAAAAGTGATGCTATTTCATTAGAATGAGGTACGGATACCAAATGATACACTGGACCTCCGTGTACATCTAATGGTAAAACAAGTATTAACAAACAATAAGAAATAATTATTAAAAAAAACACTAAAATGCTCTATCTACATCTAAAAATGTTATCATTGTAACATGTAACAGTAACGATGCTACTACTTTTATAGAGATTTACATGATTTCATTGTATTCTGTGTTATATTACTAAAATTTAATTATTATAACTTTTTAAAAGTAATTTAGAATAAATAACATGTTACAAAATAAATCTTAGAGAAATAAAGTAAAAGATAAAGAGCATTAATAAAGTTTAATAAAAAAAACCAATTTAAAAATAAAGAGTATTTTGTAACGAAAGTAAAGTAATTTGTTACAATTTTATGTAAAGTTAAAAAAAATTACTATGGTCGTTAGTAAGTCGTAACATATTTTTTTCAAATTTCGAATTCATCTTAAAACTCAATTCAAAAATATTAATCTGTAATATAGGATATACTTCAAAAATATTATATTGAGGTCTAAAAAATGTACGAACTACTGCTACCTCTTAATTTTGAACGCATTTGATCCATGGTTTCATCATCGTCAATTTCAGCTGCTAAATAATGTCCCGTAGCCAAATGTTTGAATCTAAATAAACAGTTCCAATGGCCAGCTCCTCCTCTACATGGATCGTGTTGTACTACCTAAAATTAAATAGTTCAAAAAGTTTACATCACACAAGTCGTATGTCAAAGTTGATCAAGAGAGTACCTCAACTTCCCATAATGCTTTGCTACTCGTTGCAGATGTAGCTGATGTACGACCAGTTGTACGTAAGAATACGTGTTGTTTTTTCTTGTATTCATCCATTGTTAAAAATTTTTCTTGCTCTGCGTGGAATAATCGTAGTACATCGCCGCCTTTTAATATTTCTTCTTGATTATCTCTATGCTCCATGAATAAAGTAACTTTCCACGATGTGCTGGAATTCACAACATTCACCTATGACATTCAAATAAAATGGTAATTGTTGTTTGACCATATAAGTACTACATACTAATATATAATTTAGTGAAAAGTAAAACAAGTATAACCTCTTTACAGCCCAAATTATCCGGAAGCTCGTAATTTGCTGCAACGTGCAATACTTGTTGTCCAGCATTTACTGGGTTCATTATGACTTTATCACCCAATACAACATTATCTCCAGTAGACCGTAGTTTATAAAACGGCATTATATAAAACCAAGACCCTTCATTGCCATTGGCATCGAGGTAAACACGCATAGCATTTTTTTCTAATAAAGCTGGAAGACGTTTGTTGACTGTTAAGTACTTATTAGATTTCAAATGAAGCAGCTAAAAAATATAATTTTATAACGTTGAGTTTAACTAAACAAAACATTCATAAGTAGTTATAACTTAAAATAAAACTACTCACTTGTATAACAGTGCCATATTGTATAACTGTTCCGAGTAATTTTTTGTTTTCAGAATCATTTTGTTTTTTTTCTATTTCAGCAGCGTGCTAATAAAATATTCCAAATACAATTTATATGTTATTACTATGTTTAATATTTGACTGAATAATGACAAAACCTTACATGCAATCGTTTTATTAAAACTGTATCAGCAGATGAGCTTGCACTTTGTTTAGCTGCTTTCCAAAATTGCTTTTGAGCTGAATATCGGTTCATGGGACATATTTTAAATAAACAATCTAAAAAAATATAGAACACATTATATTAAGTATGATAGATTCAACTTTATAAATACAAAGCGGGCTACGTTTTTTGAAGGTTGCCCTAAGACACATATACTTTTTAGTACTATTAATGAATATACGATGATAATAATAATAATAAATAGAAGAAAATCATCAATGACAATAAAAATTTTACAATTTAAAAAGTATAAAATTTTGTTTTAAATTTTTAAAAAATAAAGTAAAAAAAAAAAAAATTATATTAATATTTTTTACATTAAATTTACGTACTACACAATTATACATCAATACCTCTAAATTTTTTAGGTGGATTATTTAAGTCCCCAGCTTCTGGGCACACCACTGTTCTGTCGTCAACCAAGCTGAAAAGTAGGTTAAAAATATACTTATATGAAATCCTAGTATATTTTTAATTAATAAAAACTTATCAATTTTATAATAGGTAATAAACATTCAACATACCCCAATGTACTTAGGAAACCACATACACTCCCTTCAGCATAAAGGGAGACAATATCTCCCAAATGAAGAAAACTTGAGGTTCCCATCATATCGTTCATCATTTTAATGTCAATTGTTGTCTAGTTTCTGCAACTTTTTATTTAACTATGTTCAAAATATTTTGTAAGAAATACCTTCATTTTAATTATAAACTAAGAAATGAAATCATTACACATCATACACGTATAATAACATGTATATGTAGCTTATTATAATATCGTTAAAAACACTAGGTGGCCTAATAGTGTTTTTAGTATTAAACTTACATTAGTGTTTTGCAATCAAAACATCATCAATCCATGACTGTTGTTCATAGTACCAACGCTGGTGTAATCCAAAAGTGTTTGTTTTGTTATGTAGATATTTATTAATGTACACATTTGTAGAAGGGGATTAAGCAGTGAAAAGTTAAAATATAATAATTACTTGCAACCGGTGAAAAAAATCAATGAAAGTACTTAAAAAAACATTTTAAATGAATAACAAAAAAAAATATGCAAGAAAGAAATGACGAGTAGTTATTGTACAATATTCACTCTTAATTAGTACAAGCTACAAAACCCGAAAAATCTAGTCTCTAGTCTTTCTTATCATTGTTGGAATTACTATCAGAAACATGACACGGTATCAAAGGTATACATGCATTTTTATCGTTCTATTTGCTTTAGAGTTTAGATTAGATAAAATGATTTACCCAAGGTGGTCCACGTCCACCTTGGATTTACCTACATTGTATGTAGCCAAAATTTATTATACTGTAATACCTACCTACTTATTGCCTTCTCTCCCATTTGACGCATGAAGCGACCTTTATAATTAGCGTTGTCATTAGGTACATAATAGATTTATGTGTTCATGCCTAACGGTTGTAACTTGTATAGAAATATTTTAAATATATTAGACATTAGTACAAGTTAATATTCCAACCATCTGTAACGATCTATACATTTCCTTAAAAGTTAGTGTAAAACACAGTTTTAAAAATACTTTATCTCGTCGGTCAAATTTGCTGTTGACCCACTTCCGAAAATGTAATTTTGGAATTATCACAGTACCTTAACCAGGGAGAGAAGCGCATGTGCACCCTTAAATATGTTTTCTTGTATTATTGTATAATATGTGGCGAGTAGGCAAACTGTCGATTGTTGTAACTTATAAACTATCCCTTAGGTCCTGATAACTGGAGCAGCATATTTTTTTGTTTTTGATAAAAATGTAACGCTCCATTTAACACTATTTCCTTCCAATCAGACAATTTTAAACTAATATACATTAAATGTTATTTTATGAGACATAAAAAACGTTTAATGTAAAGTAATATTGAATACCTAGTTAATCTGTTAGATTTTTCGGTATTTTCGACAAATATTACAAATATGTTAAATTTTACATCAGAGACTCATTACTAATATATACCTACATATATTATATTTTAATTATAAATTGTATGTTAAATGTATAATTATACAAATTGTAATAAATTAAATATTAAAACGATTTTATAACTCAGTCATCGAAGTCAAAATCGATTTTAAAAGGGGGGAAGGCATGTGTCGTCTCGTCGTCAATTCCGATGAACCATTGTCGATAATCTTCCCATGTCGCCCATCGGCCTTCCTTTAGGGTCTGGATTTCATATGATTGCTCGTTGGATGATGTGATGATGCGATCTCGAAACAAAATATATTCTGGCTTTACTTGATCACCATGCGGTACATTTAATTGGATTGTGCAATAATAAATTTCGTCTTCTTCGATGATTGCGCAAAATGAGTATTGCTTATCAGTAATATAATTTACCAACAAATGAAGCGCAGCCAACGTCTTGCATTTTTCCTGGTTGTGGTCATCGGCAGAGCACATCTTTTTACCAACTGAAATCGTCTTTGTTATAATTATGTAAACATCTTTATGGCGGTTCTCACCAGTTTGGCTTAACATTTAAATTTGAGTTTATGACAAAATGATCTGTGTTCTATCATCCGTATTTTTTCGATATACCTAATACAACCAACGCAATATCATTTTTAAAAAAGTTCTTTCTTAATTAACTAATTATTCGTTAACTGGTTGAAATATTGAAAAAAAGGCAATAATAGAACACAATGTTGTTGTCTATATTATGTACAAAATTGGTTTTGTAAAATTAATCCGCACAAGGCGGGGTTTTTGTTGAAAATAACGGATGTGTGACGTCCTCTTAGACAATATATCATTTTTAAGCACAACTGGTAAGAATATCGTTTAATTTATCAAAAATAGTTTACCGTGATCTACGTACAGCATACTACGGAAAATTGATCTAAATAATATATTCCGAGCTTTCTTTTCGTCGTCAAAGTATTTGCCCCCATTTATAGCTGCAAATTCGATGCATTTGATAATATTTATTATATTAAATATATTTATCTATCAAAACCCCCCTAAATATAAGCATAGTTGAGAATTATAGTAGGTATCTCATTCATAATTCACTATCAGCTAAGTTTTTAATCTAGAACTTGATGAATAGACGGAAATTGGCCCCCTGAAAATTGTTTGAAAAAACAGTTAATTAACTAATTTATGTTTAATACTGTGACTGTGGCGGTATTGTAGTATTGAAATTGATGTTTCCCTTTTATTGCCTCTAGCATTCAGCTACTTTTTAAAACTTATATAGTGGTGATTTTAGAAATAATTGTGATGTCTTGATGTAAGAAATTATATTTTTTAATAGTAACATACTGTTAAAGCTTCAACAAAAATAAACTACTTGTTAAATTAATTGTACTTAGAATTATGAACATAGACCCGGAACTAGTTTGGAGACAAAACGTAAATTTTTTGTTTACCAAAATAAATATTATTTTTACCGTTAGAATGTCATGTTCGTCTAATCAATACTTAAACCACTTTTAACACCTATAGGTATTAAAATAACTGATAACAGTAACTAGATACAGCTAGGTAATATGTTATAGCTATAATTGCTACTTACATAATCAACGATTTACTTACTCTTAAATGGATCAAATAACTCATTCATCACCAAGTTCTTTTTACTATTTGTTTGTTCTAAAAAGATTAAATATTAAAATAGTTATACATAATATAATGCTGATCTGACAAATCTACATTTAATATTAATTAATTAAAGTTAATAAACTCAACCGGCTGTAAGCTTAGATAGGTACAATAAATAACACCAGCTATACATACCATAATGATCGTTTTCTAATACAGTTGCATCTATAAAAATTGAAACCATATAATAATGTTCGTATCGTTGACCGTTGTATAATTTAATATTCTAATATTATATAGTAATTATGCTTTATCATTACCGATATCCAAAATGAACTCTCTAAAAATACCTATAAAATATGTACAAATAATAATCATAATGTTTAGGCATATTATTTCCTGAATCCTGTATAAATTGTACAGCGCGTTTTAATAATAATCATAATATCATCAGAAAATGAGTAAATGTAATTAAAGGTCCTCCTTAACACAGGGGGTCAGTAAAGAGGTACTGTCACGATTTAATACTTTTTCTAATTAGACAAAAGTTGAAAATTAAAAAAAAACTGGTATTTAATCAGTTTATTACTGACGAAAGGGAACAACCACTTCTACTATCTTTACTATCTTTACATCTTTCCAAAATTATTTATTCAAAACTGGTTTTTGACCAGTCAACAATTTAAGATAAACACTTTTATAATATTAAATAAGAAACAAAAAAATCATGCATTATCTACATGAAGATACAGTACTGGCATGCTTTACCTAAATATTAAGTTAGCCCCTCCCCTCCCCCTCTTTACAAATTCCTTCGAATGCCAATAATCATAATTTTTGGTATAACATTAAAGGTAAACTTTATTTATAAAACAAGAGTCGTGCATAAATCATTACTTAAATAAAAAATGATTACTGTCTAGTCTTGCCGGTACGACGTGTATGACATTAGCTACGTTTTTATGCACTTCACGTTCGTAAGTATCTACCAAACATAACAAAAATTAGATTTTATAAAAAGTTGCTGCACTATTAAAGAACTCAATTAATATATAGTTTTTTTAGTCTGTAATTTGATCATGGCCCAATGTAACAAAACTGGTATTATAAGCAAATATATTAAGTACCATAATCTTCCGTGCCATTGGTTAGTTGACCTGCAAATAATTTAAATCCAATTACTATAGAGATATTATTACATTATTTTGTTTTAAACTTAAATTACAATATATTTAACAAATATGAGAATGTCTGAATATATCTAGTTTATTTTTCATTTTTTTAACAATTATAGCTTATTCTTCTACTTCTGTACCTTTACCCTAACTATTTGAGGTCAACCATCCTTGTTCTAAACCTTTACTCGACACTGTCTCCCATATCATCTTCGCATAACCACTGGTTTCTAGATACTGATGTCTCCCTTATAATTATATTTTCTATAATCTTTCCCCAAATTTTCATAGTATCTTCATATGGCTAATCAATTTTATTCGTCTTTAATTTCCACATTCTTGTACATCTCTCTTTCCTTTAAGTATACTGTATAGATACTACAAAACTCTTCCTCCACTCGTCTGATATTTTTCAAATTATCTCTAACCTTAGCCAGTCCATAAACTTCTTTTTACCCTAATTTGTTCCTAGCCCCTCATGCAACTTTTATTGTATCTTTTTATTTTACTTTGCTTACGCTCTTAGTTTCACTACATAACATGTTTTACTATATCCAATCTTCTCCTCCTGATCTTGTATGTTCATTTTACATCGACTGTCGACCTGACGCAATCTCATTTGTCACCTAGAGGTAGATAGAGGTTTCATGGGAGTATTCTGATGCCCTTCTACGGAGATAAACAATTATATAAAAATACAAATTTAATGTAAATTTATAACTAAAATCTAAAACCAAAATTAACATTTTTTTTGTTCACTGTGATTTATATTTTTACCTTCAATTTTCCGGCTAACAACATTGAATAAAGTCAAACATACGTAAAATATATATGATGTGTCCATTACAATTCTTCTATTAGATATTATGTACAATTTTATTCGAAATAACCACTAAATTTCGTAGCATTATATGCTGAAAATAACAATAAAATATTTAAACAGTTGTATGTTGAATTATGCCAACAAATATTTAAATTATACGATGGTGCACTGACTACTGGTGTAGTATTATTTCTATTCATATATTTTAACCACTAATATTTCATCTAAATTTGATGTAATACGTACGCTACCATGTAACATGCGTACTCCACGGTTAAATGTTAAAGAAATATCTAGTACACAGATAAACAGGTAGAAATTAGATACTTTTAAGTTCAGCAGTTATTTTTATTATGTCGCGAACATGTCAGTAAATTCAGTTCACAGTCGACGGTACAAAATCGAGACAAAAGTTGTCGGTTGTATGTTGTAGTTTCATTCAATCGATCTCCGAATGTACTCAGAATTGCGCTAAACGGGACGCATGACGCGGGGGAGGATAGGGTACAAAGTTATACTTGTATATGTATTTAATCTCTGAAGTTACTGGCTCGATTTACGTGCGTTTTTTTTTTTTAATTTG